CGAGTACAGCACCAGGTGCTGTAACTACTATTACAGCTTCAATTAATTCTCATGACAACCTCATGAAGTTATTATTGTTATTATCTTTATCCTGGAGAAGAAGAAACTGAGGTTTGGAGAGGTAATTTTCCATAGGTTCCTCAAGTGACATAGGGCCTGGGGAGGTGGGGGCAACTTTGGCCAACTAGAGAGCTGGCACCCAGTCCAAAGGGGGGGAGTTGCTGATGCCCGGCTGCTAGGGATTGTTTTCCCATGGAAATGTGGGACAGAGAGCCCCATTTTTCAAGAGAAGCTGCAAATCAGCATTCATGTGACATATCCTGAATTTTAAATTGCAGCAGCATATTTCATTTTTTAAAAAATACAATAAAATACTACAAGTAAAAAACAGAACAAAACAAACAAATACACCAAACAAACCATTCTGCAACCCAGATTTGCCATAGATGAGCATTATCTGCTTTAGAATCACCAGCTTGGAGTACATCCTCCAGTCCCAGGAAGGCCCAAATTCCTGTTTGCTTTTCCACTTTTGCCCCTTCCAGAGTCTGTGCTACTCCCCAGGACTGAAATCTCCAGGACTGTGATCAGCAAAGTTTTCCTTAGCCAGAGAGTCAACGTTTTTGGCTTTGCCGTCTCTGCCACAACTACTCAGCTCTGCCATTTGGCACAAAAACCATAAACAAATGGGCATGGTTGTGTTTCAATACAATTTTATTTATAGACACTGAAAGTTGAATTTCATCTATTTTTTTACTTGTCATGAAACAGTATTCATCTTTTGATTTTTTTCTAATCATCTACATAGGCAAAAACCAGCCTTAGCTTGTGGGCTATATAAAACAGGTGGTGGGACACTTGAGACCATTAAAAATTCGTGACTGTTTCTCCAGGAGCTACTGGTGTTTGCTGGCTCCACATCCTAGTTTCAGGCTGCCTTAAGCCACCTTAGGTAAGGCCCATTTCACAAGCAGATGTGAGCACGTGTGTAGTTCCTTATCCCTACGTGGTTCTGACTGGTCTGTTTCAGTAGCTTTCACATTTAATCTTCAGCCGAACTGTTCCTTCCTATGAAATCTTTCGTGGAGAATGTAAAACAGCTAATGATAGGTGGTCCCACAACCACCATCCTTGTCCTGCTCTGTGGCCCCTGATGCACATCATGGAAAAAGCACGGTGGATGGAAAAACCAACTGGTCCCGTTCATAGCAGTGGATGGACCGTGAAATTATCATAAAGCCATCTGGCAAAGGATTTTGCTTACAACTCTAAAATGTGTTGAAGAGAGTGCAATTCACAGTAGTGGCTATGAACTTGGCTTTGGAGTCTGGAAGACTTACCCTTGAGTGTGCCACTTATAGCTGTGTCCTTGCGGAAATCACTTACTTCAGATTTCCTCATCTGTAAAATAGGGCTCATCATACCAGGTACCTCCCCAGGCTGTCTCGAGAGCTAGAAGGATAAAACATGTAAAGTGTTTAGAATGGCACGTGGTAGATGGTAAGTGCTTCATGTGTGTGACTTATTCTGATTTGTTACCCAGCCAGCTGGAAGGCAATGGGGCTTAAAAGCAAACAGGAATCTGTGAATGAAACTCTAAAATCCAAACAAGAAAAATGAAGGCCTTCTTTCAATATTAGGGAAGGAGTTCTGAGTTTGTTTTTCTTCCAAGAATTTCCTTGAGTCTTCAAGCCTTCTCTCCAAGACACCACCCTCTTTGTTCTGAGTCCATTCTTTGGCTGGTAAGCAGAGAATCAGAACCAAGAGGATGGGCTCATATCATATTGCATTCATTGTGAAATGCCTCTGGTTTGGAGCCTATTTATAGTATGTGTTAAATACACGGCACTCTTTAAGACATGGAAGCAACCTAAATGTCCATTGACAGATGAATGGATGAAGAGGATGTGAGATACACACACACACACACACACACACACACACACACACAATGGAATATTACTCAGCCATAAAAAGGAATGAAATAATGACATTTTCAGCAACATGGATGAACCTAGAGATTATCATACTAAGTGAAGTAAGTCAGAAAGAGAAAGACAAATACCATATAGTATCACTTATATGTGGAATCTAAAATATGACATACGTGAACTTCCACAAAACAGAAACAGACTCACAGAACAGACTTGTGGTTGCCAAGGGTCGGGGGGGAGCAGTATGGGAAGGATGGAGTGGGAGTTTGGGATTAGCAGATGCAAACTATTATATACAGAATGAATAAACAACAAGGTCCTAGTGTATAGCACAGGGAACTATATTCAATATCCTGTAATAAACCATAATAGAAAAGAATATGAAAAATTATGTATATATATGTATAACTGAATCATGTTGCTGTACAGCAGAAACTAACACAACATTGTAAATCAACTATGTTTCAATAAAATAAATTTTAAAAAATACATGGCACTCATTATTATGAGTTAATAATAGGCATAATAATAACGACTACCTTTATATTGTAATGGTAAAGCCCATTCAAATATTGATTTTTCCCTTCACCAGCTGTGACAACTCTCTTTCCTCTGTGATCCTGCGTTGTCTTATCATCAAATATCAATGTGAATAGTCCCTATCTCCTAAGGCAGTGGATGAGAGTAAATGAGAGAAGAATGTAGGTTTCAGCTCTGTGCCTAGCCCGCTAGAAGCACTTAAAAAGTGCTGGCCATTATCATGAAGTGCCTAGAGCTTTGCGAAAATGATCTCATCTTCATATATGGCCTTATTTAATTCTTACAGTAACTGCTCTGAAATATAAGCCCAGCTATGTGTGAACATAAACCTCGTCCAACTGTCCACGACACCACCTTGCCCCTCACCTCCAGGCCGTCTCTGCCGGCAGAGACAAGAACAATAAGGCATAATTTCATGCTGTGTTGTGGTGAGGGGTTCTGAAATTGTTTGTCATTTATGAGAACTGGCAGAGCCATTAGCTGCCCCAGAGATTGGTTAATTGGCTAGTTAACAAACACCACAGCGATTATCAAACACCCACAAGTTAAGTCAGGCTGATGTCAAAGAAAGAAAAGGAAAGAAAATGCTGACAGTTTCCCCGGGGTGCACCTGCGCAATTCTGTGCCGCCTGAAGGAGTGAGCCACACCGCAGAGCACAGCAAGCTCCCCTGGGCGACGGGAGTGGGGAAGGGGGCGGTCCTGTGTCAGATATGAGCGTTATCCAATCAGGGAGAGTGGGTTACTCCAGAATCCATGCCTGGAATCCACACCGAGGAGTCAGCAGACCTTGATTGGAATTTTGGCTCTACTAGTTACCCGTATGACTTCAAGCAAAATTCTTATGGCCAGCTGCCTCAAGCTGCCTCATCTGCAAAATGGGAAGATAAATTTATATATATATATATATATATATATATATATATAAGTATATATGATGGAAAACATTGAGATGGAAAAATATTACAGTGTGAATTTATTGATTGTTCAGATACTCAAATATCCTCACTAATTGGGAAAAAAAGAAAAAGATAAGACAAGACAGTTCTCATGATGAATCCTTATGCTTCATAGCTCTTCGCCCTTCTAAATAGATCCCAACATCATGCAAAATCTAGGAAGCAGAAAGTTTCCATCTTCAGCTTTATTTTTTTTTCCTCTACCTATCTCCTTTGTGTGCCCTAAGAAAGATGCTGATGGGCCGAGGCAGAGCCTGCAACAACCATAAAGCATCTTCACTGTGGGGGTGAGGATGCAGGCTGGGCCCCAGGGGCTCTTTCCACTCCTCCCCCGCCAGCTCAGGGCCACGTTTGTTTCCACAGGGGCTTTCCGAGGCGTGTGCAAGAAAATTGATCACTTCCCCGAAGATGCTGACTACGAACAGGACACGGCTGAGTATCTCCTGCGTAAGTTCCCCCTTCGCGGGTCCTCCCGGGGAGGGGTGGGCGAGGAGGGCTGCCCCGAGGTTGTCCAGCTGCCTCTGAGTTTGAGGCTCCCCAGTACCCAGCCCCAGAAATGGATACGTGCAAAGAAGCTTCAGAAAAATCTTTGCTACTAGACAGAGACATTCAGGTGGTTCTGACATCTGAATCTCTTTCATTTCAATGAAATAGAAATAGGAAAAAAAAAAAAAGGGAGCTGTGTCAAAACTGAAAAGTTCTTTTTAGTCTGCTTAGGAGGAAATCTAAGGATTTTCTTCAACTTGAATACAAGTTTTCACCTTCCCCAGAGGGCTGCTTTGAGGTGCTAATGGGCTAAGTGCTAATGGATGAGGTGCTAATGGGCGAGGTCCTAAGAGGCAAGGCCTGGGAGAGTAAAAGCAAACCAAGGTTCACCCCTCTTCAGTTTCAATCTCATTGGGGCAGGACCAGTGTCTCCCCCTAGATTGTCCCAAGGTCAGTAACACGGATATGACATGGAACTGTCACAAACGCAGCACGTGGGAGGCAACAGTGTGCTGGCTTAGAGCAAGGGCTCTGGATCCTGGTTGACTCGGGCTTTTACTCCAGTGATGCCCTACTAGCTGGGCTGGACCTGGGCCAGGCTGCTTTACCTCTCATCTCTCACCTTTCTTCGTAGTCAGCAATAAAGATGATAATGTCATCCATCTAACAGGGTCATGAAAATTAAATAAGCTGGTGCACATTGTGCTTCGCCCGGGGCCAACATGTACTCACGAAGCCATACGTGTTGGCTCTCTTCTGGGGCATGGGATGAGCAATGGTCAAGGCCCAGTGGCAGCCACAGGCCTGACATTAATCCAGGCACAGAGAGAATTGGGGATTTAATGTAATTCAGACAGAATTTCTTCAACAGGGAGGTGTGTCAAGTTCACTCAAAAGAAAAGTTCTAAGGCATTGATTAATTTACTATTAGAGAGTGTTAAATGTAACATTTTTTTAAACTGCTGTTATACATAAAAACTTCCAGAAATTGTGCTATTCGGGTTATGCTTGTAACTCGTAGCTCAAGAAGAGTGCTTTTACAATTAAAATCATTGTTAGCTCTACTACTCATGCTTGCTAGTCTACAGATGGGCAGTGGGTCTAAATATGAGCCTTTAATCGCATAACAATGTAAGTGGTGCGCGGGGTCAATTTGAAAGAAAGTCATTTCTAAGCTAATTTTTTTTTTTTTTTTTTTTTTTTTTTGCTTCCTTCTTCCTGCTCCTTTCCCTCCTTGAGTCCAAAGTCAGCTTCCTGAAACCCCATCTACTGTCTGTCTCATTCACAGCTATAACGCCAGGTATAGCGTGGGGCCTGGCACAAAGTAAATGCTCAATAAATATTTGTTGACCAATTGCTGAACTCCTCTAATTGTTCATGGTTAAAATTTCAGGATGGGCTTATTTTTTCTTTTAAGTTAGCTTTTATACATTAGTTGAATTATCATTAAATGAAATTAAATAAATTAACGGCAGGCGGACTCCCAACCACTGCGCCACCAGGGAAGCCCTAAGCTAATTTTTAAAACATATTATTTCTCTTTTTTTGGTCCTTATCCATCTACTAGGATTTACCCAAATGCCAACTAGAACTTACATGAGCAGCTTAAAAGGATCTGATATGGGAATAGAGGCCACGTGTAGAGAGGTAGCTTGACCAAAGTTTGGGGTAGATTACTTGAACCTCCTTTTGAGGATGATTTTAAAGTCATCTCCAGTGGGGTTTTACCAGAGTGACTGTAGTTTTTGTTTTTCTTTCCTATTTTGATGTTTGCCCTGTTGGGAACTAAACAGAACTGTGACCTCTATTTCACAACTTGCAAAACTGATTTTAATTTCTTCCGAGAGATCCATCGCTTTTCCGACAAAATATATTTCTCCCCTCTGTGAAGGTGGAGGTCCTCACCATCAGCCACAGAACCAAGTTAAGGAGGGACCTTCCTGAGCACACGAATTTCCTGCAGGGAACTTTGGAATCCCCGTCCAGTCACGTGGCGCCAGGGTCACGGGCCCTGCAGGGGTCTCCAGGCCCATCCAGCACACGTGCTGCCAGTTCCTGTTGCGACCACACCCTGGTGGGGTGGGATTCTGCACATTGATTATTCTGCTATTTCCTCTTTCTCATGTGTGGTTAGGGAGGCTGAAGTTTAAACCTATAGCAGAAGATTTAATCAGGGACTTCCCTGTTTGTCCCACTGCAGGGGGCCCGGGTTCGATCCCTGGTCGGGGAACTAAGATCCCACAAGCCCCGTGGCACAGCCGGAAAAAAAAAAAAAGAACCAATCCAGGGTAAACTGAGTTAGGAGAAAATGGCAGCAGAGCATGTCCTGTGTGAGACCGACACCTGTAGCCTCAGTTTATAGAACCTGCTCTTATCTCACTTGTGGGGTAGAGGTGGCATCTGGCTACCAATTGGTTGCCAAGAGGTTCCTGCACCACATGGGAAACAGTCACATTCCCATATCTCATAGCCGCACATTTCAAATATACACAACCAACACAATTCAGTAGCTTCCAATGTTCAGATCATCTCCTTCGGGCATAATCATACTTTAGTCATACTTTGAAACTAAAAAAAATTTTTTAAAGGTGCTCTCCTTTAATCAATTGAACTCATCACATTGAATATTCGAGCAATTCCCATCAAGTACACAATGCAAATGATCGCTTTAAAGATTTGTGCACGCTTGAAATCACTGGGGACAGATCCACCCCTAATATTTGTGGGTTCCACGGCCAAGGTTCACATGGAAACCCGTAGGTCATATGTGTAAATATTTAGAAGTTATAAATAAGCTATGGCCACCCAAGATCCCAACGCCTACTTCCCAGGGATCCCCCCTTGGCCTGGGGGCTAAATGAACCAGGGGGCCAGCCCTCCCTCCTGCAAGCCTGTGTGGGAGCAGGGAAGCACAGAGCAAGCCGGGCCTGGGCCAGGACTGTGACTGACTGGCCTGAAGCTAGGATGGGGACTGATTTAATCACACTCCCAGGGGTCAGGGCAGCCAGGATCCCTCCCCCTACGCCTCACTTCTCCCATCAGGGTTTCTAGGCAGTTTGAAGCCCCTTCCAAAACTTCCCCCATTGCAGCAGGGACAGTTACTGGGACCCTGGTCTGCCCAGCCCCAATGGTGGGGGACTTGGGGTGGCCATCCTTAAGCAAAAGCTAGAACTCTTTCATTTTCTTCTCCTCATGAAGAGAACCTCACCCCTGTCTGCTTTCGTCGACCCCTCATCCCCGTTCTCCATCGGCCCTCCCAGGCAATCCCTGTAGGATAATTCAGCTACCAAACTTGCACAAAACTTTTCCCATAAAAACAAACAAACAGGGCTTCCCTGGTGGCGCAGTGGTTAAGAATCCACCTGCCAATGCAGAGGACACGGGTTCGAGCCCTGGTCCGGGAAGATCCCACATGCCTTGGAGCAACTAAGCCCGTGCGCCACAACTACTGAGCCCACGTGCCACAACTACAGGGCCCACGTGCCTAGAGCCCGTGCTCCACAACAAGAGAAGCCACTGCAATGAGAAGCCCACGCAGTGCGAGGAAGAGTAGCCCCCGCTCACCACAACCAGAGAAACCCCGCGCACAGCAACGAAGACCCAACGCAGCCAAAAATATATACATAAATAAATAAATAAAAATGAAAAACAAACAAACAGACAAAAACAGTCCTGGTGTTGTGGAAACCAGTCCTCTGCATTCGGAGCGTGAGCACCGCCACGCAGTAGCAATAGGAAGGGCTGCAGCTGACCCCACAGGAAAACACACAATAAATGCAGGGACATAAAGCTCTGAACACTGAGCTTTGAACTTCCACGCCAAAGATGAACCGACCACCTTCCTGCTGCCCCACTGCTCACCCTGCAGGCGTGCTGGGATTATAAAGATGCCACTGCCGGCTCAGTGGCTAAGCACCAGGCATGGTGCTCAACAACGCTTTCTCTCACATCCCACCCCCAATTCTGTTGGCTTTACCTTCAGGATCTATCCTGAGTCCGACACCTCTCCCCACCTGTCTGCCACCCCAGTCCAAGACACAGTCAGCTCAGGCCTGGGTTCTTACCATCCTTCAAGAACCCCACACCTGGCTCCACGCTCTGCTCTCACTAGCTTAAAATTCTTCTTTTTTTAATTTGCTTTTGACGGTTATCCTTTATTTTATTTTTTCTTCCAGTTTTATTGATATATAAGTGACATACAGCACTGTATAAGTTTAAAGTGTACCGCATAATGGTTTGACGTCCAAACATCACGAAATGATTACCACAGTAAGTTTAGTGAACATCCATCACCTCGTATAGATACATTAAAGATACAGAAAAAAATGTTTTTTCCTTGTGATGAGGACCCAGGATTTACTCTCTTAATTTTCATATATAACATCCAGCTGTGTTAATTATATTTATCATGTTGTACATTATATCCCTAGTATTTATTCATCTTATAACTGGAAGTTTGTGCCTTTTGACCACCTTCCTCTAATTCCCCCTCCCCACAGCCCCACCTCTGGTAACCACAAATCTGATCTCTTTTTCTATGAGTCTGTTTGTTTGTTTTTGATGTATATCTGATGTACAACACTACTACGTTGGTTTCCATTACACAACATAGTGATTTGGTACCTCTCTACATTTCAAAATGATCACCAGGATAAGTCTAGTTACCACGCCATCTTGAAATTCTTAATACTTTTGGAACAAGAGGCCTTGCATTTTCATTCTGCACAGGGCCCTGCAAATTAGGTAGTGGGTCCTGCCCGTCATCTCTATTAGAACGTAAGCTCCATAAGGGCAGGACCTTAGCTCTTTTGTACCTCAATGGACACAGAATTTATCCAACTGATATTCTGGCCCAGGTGTTCCAGGAAATACTCTTATGCTGGCTGGGTAAATACTGGGATCCCCACCTGAAGGTCCCTCCGCCCCAGAACCTTAGGGCCTCTCTGTGATCCAGCAGCTGAAGAGTTAACACATGGGTCTCTAGAACACTGCTGCTCCAGCCCTCAGCCAGCGTCCCCTTCCTCCCCTTAGAAGGGCAGCCTCTGCACCCTTGGGGTGGTTAAACATTTCCACCAGTACCCCAGGACACAGCACAGCGCCTGGCATTTGGTAGGTGCCCGAAAATATTGTTGAATGAATAACTAAATTCATTTGTTTATTCGGTGACTAAATGGGTATCAAATGGGCATTGCCAGACTCAGTACTATGCAAATGTAGGCATGTGCTGGGACAGACTCTGCGTTTCGGTGAACAGCTTGTGATCTAATGGGAGTCCCAGGATGCCCTGTTGGCTATATGATTTGCAGGGGCCAGTGCAAAATGAAAATCCCGGGCTCCTGGTTCAAAACGCAGGCAAAAAAAGCTATCTCCTTTCTTCTGCCGTCTCTCTCTCCATCTGTCATGGTGTCTTTCATTTGCTATGAAATGTCACACTCCCTCCGGCACGGGAACACTCAAGGGGTGAGTGCATACCCTCGCAGGTGCCTAGGGCTTTCAGCCAACCCTGGTTCTCCCAGCGTCCATGCCCAGGTCCCCACCACAAGCCAAGGGCGGCAGTGGTCTCCGGCTGGGGTGGGGGAGTGAGCAGCTGAGGACCCATCCCAAGGAGAATGGGAGGTGGGGAGGTGATGGGGGGTGGGATGCCACGTGAGTAGAGGCTCCAAGCCCAGGGCGCATGCTCCATTGACCCATCAGAGTTACTTATAAAACACACATTCAAGATAAAGCTATTAAGAATTTCAGGATGGTGACTAAAGAGCATTAACCTCAAGTACAGGGCCCTGAGCGACCAAACTGGTCTCGCACCCACGTTAGATGCAGGCTCTGTCCTCCTTCTCACGGGCTGTCCTCCAACCAGGCACCCCCATGCCCGTGGAGGGGGGGGGAGGTCCCGGAGCTGACTGGGTGCAGGGGGAACCCTCTCTCTTTCTCTCCGCAGGGGCTGTGAGGGCCTCCAGCGTCTTCCCCATCCTCAGTGTCACGCTGCTCTTCTTTGGCGGGCTCTGCGTGGCAGCCAGCGAGTTCCACCGCAGCAGACACAATGTCATCCTCAGCGCGGGCATCTTTTTTGTCTCTGCAGGTGAGCATCTGGTCTCAGCCCTGAGGGCATCACAGACACCAGACCCAAGGCAGGGCCACCAGGACAAAGCAATGCTATTCAGGGTTCCCTCCAGGGAAGGAACAAGAAAACGTTCAACTTGCGTGTTAAGAATGAGAACCAAAGACTTTAATTAGAACCAAAGATGCTGACATTCTAGCTGAGAATGCGCGGAGGGGAGACGAGGGGAAGGTCAGCTTGGAGAGGCGGAGAATGACTAATGAGAGTGTGCGTGTATGTGTCTGCACATAGTGGGCAGGGGGCAGTATGGTGTGTGTAATGTGTGACCTGAGAGATGGCTTCAGTGTGTTTTAAAGGGGTCCATCTTTCTGTTCACTTGGACATCATCATACACTATCTCTGGCCCTTTGAGACCTGTGTTTGCTGGTTTAACTGTTGTTCACAGCTCTTCAAGCGCACAAACCCTCAGACTGTTCAAAGCATCTCTGGGAACAAGGTAAAAGTCAGCAGCCCCAGATGCTCGCGGGGAAGACCTTATCATCAATAGCAGCCTTGACAGGAAGGTGGCACAGGGTGGCAAGGAGGACGAGGCAGTCCCCAGGAAGAGGTCCTATTTCTGCACCCTCTCTCCTCCCTTCATCTCCATCCCTCCTCCACCCTCCTCATCCTCCTCTATTCCCTCTGGGTTTTCACTCCACCATCGCTTTACAATCTCTTCCCACCCCACCCCTCAATCAATGCCATCTGGATGAAATGCTTTAGAGACGCAAAGAACAAGGTTGGGGTGGGAGGGTGGGGAGCTTGACTCTTCGGTGATGACCTCCAAACTTTGACCCATAACGGCAGAATATTTACTGGGGTAGAAACAGTGGGGAAGAGTATAAAATGGTGGGTGAGAGGGGCTTACCCTCCTGGATTTGAATTCTGGCTCTACCTGTGGAGCCTTGGGAATGTTACCAAATCCCTATAACTTCGTTTCCTTGACTGTAAAATGGGAAATAATAATAGTACCTATTTTATAGGGTTGTTGGAAGGAGGTTGAACATAAAAATCACAATATTATTTTCTAGCATTGGAAAAGCAACACAATATAGTTCCAAAGTTGGAAGCCCAGCATCCCGGCCTCCTCCAAGATATTGCTCAAGTTTCTTCCCTACTGTTTTCCTTCTTTGGAATGGGAAAAGTGGATGGCATCCAGCTCTGAGTCTCTGGGAACCAACTCAAGCAACAGACCAGGGGAAAGCCGCCATCTTGTCAGGAGAATGAGATTAGCCCAAAGGTGATGCTCTGTGTGGACAGATGGTAACAGCTGGTAAACCCAGGGACCTGTGTTGCTTTGAGGCACATGCTAGTTGCTGGTGGCCCCCTCCAGACCTCCTGGGCTCTGACTGACCCAGAGGATGCTGTGCTGTGCTGATATGAGGGTTTCCTAAACAGAAGATCATTATTTTGTCCCCCAAGGGGATTGTTGAGGGAGAGTGTGTCACCAGCAACCTTCCTCTCACCAGGGGTGTTGTGAGAGATGGCAGGTAGATTAGACACATGGGAACCGGGGAACATGAGGGGCAGCAGCAAAGCCCTAAGGGGAAGCCAGAAGCTGGGGGTCTCATCCTAGCTATCCCCCCACCACGGGTCTCCCTGAGGACCCTGAAGAGCCTCAGTTTCTCCACCTACAAAGTGAAAATTTGGGAGGATTCAGCACTCCCTAAGGCTCTTTTTTGCTCAGTTATTCTAAGGTTCTATGGTTTCAGGCAAGCAGTCAACAACCCTTTATTGAGTACCTACTCTGTGCCAGGCACTAGGCATTATGCTCAAGACCATGGGCTCTGAAGCCAGGCTGCCTGGTGCAAATCATGGCTCTACCACTTCCCAGCTTAGTAACATCGGGCAAGTCTCTTAACCACTCTGTGCCCCAGTTTCCTCATCTGGAAAATGGGGATAATAATGGCTCTACCATTTAAGGCTGTTCAGAGAATTAAATAGTTGGTATATGGAAAGAGCCTAGAACTGCATCTAGCCCACAGTAACTGCTGGATGCATAATAACTGCTACTATATACATTGTACCATTTAATTCTCATGCTGATGCAATTCAACAAATATGCACAGGGCTCTTGCTTGGGTCAGGCTCTGGGTAAGGAGAGGAGGCCATAGTAGTGAACAAACCTAGCCTAGGTCTGCCCTTAGGGAGCTTACGGTCTAATGGTTGGGAGAAAGTGATTACCCACTTAACATCTAGTTCTTCCTAAGCTTTTTTACTGAAATCTAAATCCACCCATGGCCAAGAGACAGTCCTGGGTTCAAATCCCACCTCTGCCATTTCCCAGCTGTGTTGACTTGGAAAGTTATTTATCTTTTCTGTGTCCCAGTTTCCTCATCTGTAAAAGAGGGGTGTTTTTTTTTTAAGCAGGCCTGTTGCAATGATTAATTGAGATCATGCACATAAAGACTTTGCACAGTGCCTGGTACATCATCTGTGCCCTAGAAATAAGTGGCAACTCACTTGGCTTACCGCTTCCTTTAACCTGAGCTGACATCCGAGCCTCTCCTTGAGCTTCTTTTGTTTTTTCCCAGCAAGACTTCCTTTCAGGGCTTCTCAAACTTTGCCACCAAAATTTACCTGTGGGCAGAGGAGAGCGAAAACGGGGCCCTGGGAAGTCAGGGGGCATCACCAGAAGCCACCTTCCGTGAGCTGAAATGTCTCTGAAGACTGTCTCCCATTTATACTTAAAAATTCATGTGAATTCTGCTCTCTCCTCATTATATTCATGTTCATTTTAATATAAAAGAATGTGTCTTCCCTACTCATCTTCAAGCCAAATTGACACTCTAGAAAGAGGAGCCATTTTTTCATCCTGTGGTTTCCTGCAGCCTGACACAGGGCTGGCTGCATCAACCCCCATATTAAGAAATAGCTCAGTGATTAGAACTCGCTGCCTACCTGCTGAGGGCCTGCGCTGGGGAAGGCCAAGAGGAGACAGGGAAGAAACAGACCTTGGCCCTGCCCTCTAAGGGGTAAGTCCTAGATGGAATATGGCCAGAGATTGTATTCAAAATATGAATTCCCCTTAATGCATGAGCACCAGCCAGTCAGAACAGATAGCACTGGAGCAGAGTGGGGGTGGCCCTTGCTATGCCAAGCTTTAACCCTTTGGTTGCTGGACTCCAGGGAGATCTTGGGGACCCCCAGGAAGAGTATGGGGCATTCAAGGAATGGAGAGGATACTTAGGAGGCCATTGGAAATGGTTATTTACCAACTGGTACTGGGAACTGTAATGAGGAACAGCTTCCATTTAGAACCACCCTACAGGTGGCCCGGATTTGGAGGCAAGGAGACTCCAGGTGATGTACCAACCTCCCTGAGTCATTATTGGTATCAAGGCCCGGATGAGACCCTTAAAGCAAAGGACACAAAGAGACATTCTACCTTTGGAGCAATAATGTGAAACAAGTAGTCACAGATGAGGGCAACCCCCAGGCCCTCACTTTCTACTGTTTCTTCTTACTACTCCCTGGAGAATCAATTTCTCTCCAAGCGACTAGTCAGCTCTTTCCAGGGCTATTCTGTTGGCACATGGGGTCTCTAAGTCGGCAGACCTTGTCTACTGGGGACAACAGCTTCATGTTCCCCAATTCTTGATGCTTGAACAACAGATAATCTAAAGCATTATCGTATCCCGTGCAGATAAAAAGACTTAGCTACTGCACCTTCCCCATTCGTTCCCCAAACTGCAGCTCCAGACCCATATATGTCCACTCAGCAACCACATTCCGACTCTCAATAAGCACTTCCAACCCACCTCCTCTTCTCTAAGCCTATTCTCTCTGCTGCCTCTTATTTTAGCTCAAGATACCATCAACCTCCCCTTCATCCAAGCTAGAACCCTACTAGTAAGTCACTCTCAACTCCGTTGTCAATCACCTTTCATCTCCTGTTGTTCAGGACCCAGCTGAAATGTCACCTTGTCTTCAGAACAAGGGGGTTTAATCATTCTCTCTTTCTCTCTTTGCTCCTGAACCATTTCATATGTGTCTCTGGAAGAACCCTTACTATATTTTGCTATAATTGCATTTAATGTCAGTTTCTTCTGCTAATGGTGAGGAACTCAAGGTCAGGGATCTGCATCTCGTTCATTTTACCATCATCATGACTTATTGCTGAAGATTAAGCTTTGAGGGAATGAATTGCTTCTAAGGGAAAGTACATACATTCTGAATTCTACTGCACTTGCTGAAAGAGTAAGGTGAATTCTTTAGCTGAACGCTTCCCACCCAGAATGGAGCGGCAGAATTCTTCATTTCCCGAGAGACAGACCCTGCAAGAAGAGCTCAGCAGCTGGATTTCCTGGCCATAAATCCATTCTCCTCTCTCCCTGTTGACTCCACATTTTTTTTTAATAGATATTTCCAGCCTAAAAGTGACAGTCACCTCTGAGGTTTATAAAGGATGTATTTTTCTTTCCCCTTCTCTTAGGGTTAAGCAACATCATCGGCATCATAGTTTATATATCAGCCAATGCTGGAGACCCCGGGCAGCGTGACTCCAAAAAGAGCTACTCCTACGGCTGGTCCTTTTATTTCGGAGCCTTCTCTTTCATCATCGCGGAAATTGTAGGAGTAGTCGCTGTGCACATCTATATAGAAAAACATCAGCAGTTACGTGCCAAATCCCACTCGGAGCTCCTGAAGAAATCTACCTTTGCTCGCCTTCCACCCTACAGGTATAGATTCCGGAGGCGGTCAAGTTCCCGCTCCACAGAGCCCAGATCCCGAGACCTGTCCCCCATCAGCAAAGGCTTCCACACCATCCCTTCCACTGACATCTCAATGTTCACCCTTTCCCGGGACCCCTCAAAGATCACCATGGGGACCCTCCTCAACTCCGACCGGGACCATGCTTTTCTACAGTTCCACAATTCCACGCCCAAAGAGTTCAAAGAGTCGTTGCATAATAATCCGGCCAACAGGCGCACCACGCCCGTCTGAACTGACTTCTGCCCTCTGCCCTCCACCCCAGCACAGCCCGGTGGGAAGTGGACAGAGGTGTCTCTGAGGTTGCATGGCATGGTCCTCGTGATGGTATTACTTTTTACAAAGACTGAAACCAAATGGACTCAGCCCTCTCCCACAGTTCGCCCCTCTCCCTCCAGGTCCTAACCCCTCTGTCCCTCCCCGACTTTTCAAGCCAATCCCATGACATCTCTCTCTGTGTATCTGTGCCAGATGTTTTCCTTTCTTCCTTCTTTACTGGAAGGACCTCCACATTCTTCCCTCCTTGGAAGAGGACTTTACTCAAAGTCACAGGTGGTGGCTGGGGGGCTGAGAGACTCTCTTCTGTTTTGTAATTCAGTCCATGTGTAGCCAAGTTGACATTCTCTGTATTATTGATATCTTATAATGTTTCTTTTTCTGTGTGACTTATTTCACTTAGGATCATCGTACCTAAATCCACTCATTATGCTGCTACGGGCCTGGTGACATTGCTTTCATTGCTGAGTGATATTCCATTGCACGTAAGTGCCACAACTTGTTGATCCATTTTTTGCTGTCGTGGATATTTATCTTGTACCGTGGACGAGGTTCCTGTAAAGAGGGCAGCCCCAAACTTTGGGGTGGCTCTGTCTGTTTGATTTCTGTTTCCCTAAGCCTAGTGCCCGAGGCTATGTACCTTGTTTTTTGGATGTTTCAGGAAATACCATACGTTTCTCCAGGGTGGCTGGGGGCGGGGGGGATCTCCGAATCCCCAGACTTGTGCATAGTTGTCCCCATTGTCCACTCCAAATCCTCAGGACACCAACGGCCCAGGTGGCCCTGAGGGAGGCATTCACCTTTCTGTGTTAGAAAAACATGCCCAGAAATCAAAGATGTCAGAGCCCTGAAGCAGCTACTGTAATAAGCACTCACATATTAAAGGTTTTGCCTTGTCGTAACCAACCGAGCTGGGGTACTTTGTTTCTTCTGGGTAATTCCTGCACAAATTTACAAATTCATTTGCCCTGCCCTCAAACTGCCTCATGTATGTGTTGGAAGCTGAGCTTTGCTCATCCACACTCTAGCCACTAGGAAGGATCCTCCTTTACCTCTTGAGGCCAGCAGGGTGCTCCTACCAATGTCAGAGTCTGTGTGTCTCTCACCTAAATCCCGGGAAGCTACTGGGGGCAAGCATGTGTTCAAAAATCTGGCTCTGGCACCCAGTAGCTCTAGGACCTTGGGAAAACCCACCCGACCTTCAAACCTCAGTCTCCTCATCTGTAAAATGGAGCATGGTACAGTATTCTCCTCCACAGAGTTGTGAGGCTTAAATAAAACTTCATGTGTAAAATGATTAGCACACTGCAAATAATCAATATGTATATTTTTTAATTTTTGGATGAATTCTGGGTAGAGTGAGCATTATCTGAGTTTGGGCTGCCATAACAAATACTATAGATCAGGGTGGCTTAAACAATAGATATTTATTTTTCACAGTTCTGGAGGCTGGGAAGTTTAAGATCAGGGTGCCAGCAGATTTGGTTCTTGGTGAGGGCTCTCTTCCTGGCTTGCAGACAGCTGCCTTCTCACTGTGTCCTCACCTGGCAGAGCCACTAACTCCATCACTAGGGCCCCACCCTCATGACCTCCTCTAACCTAATTACCTCCCAAAGGCCCCATCTCCAAATATCACCACATCAAGGGTTAGGGCTTCGATATGTGAATTTGGATGGTGGGGAGGGACCCCATTCAGTCCACAGCAAGCATGACTGCAGGAAGATAGAAGCCAAATGCGAGCTATTCTTTTTTGGGGGGAAGGGTGTACTTTGCACAGGCTCTGAGAGGCACGGGGGCAGGGGGGTAGAAAGTGGAAGGACATTTGAATATTTTGAAAAATTGATATCAGAAAGCATGAGAAGGGCTTCCCTGGTGGCACAGTGGTTAAGAATCTGCCTGCCAATGCAAGGGACACAGGTTCGTGCCCTGGCCTGGGAAGATCCCACATGCTGCAGAGCAACTAAGCCCATGTACCACAACTACTGAGCCTGAGCTCTAGAGCCTGCAAGCCACAACTACTGAGCCCACGTGCCACAACTACTGAAGCCCGTGTGCCTACAGCCCGTGCTCCACAACAAGAGAAGCCATGACAATGAGAAGCCCATGCACTGCAACAAAGAGTAGCCCCCGCTCGTTGCAACTAGAGAAAGCCTGCACACAGCAGCAAAGACCCAACACAGCCAAAAATGAATGAATGAATGAATAAATAAATAAATAAAAGCATAAGAAATGGATGTCACCTCTGCCCACAGTGACTCCTGGGGTGCTTGTGGCGCACGCCAGCTCGTCACACCTCCAAGGAGCTTCCCACTTCTGGGTTCAGTCACTCAAGGGGGCAGAGTTATGGTCATAAGAGCTCATGCTTACCTGGCACTGTTGGTACCAGGCTGTGCTCTACAACCTTACACATATTGTACCATTTAATCCTCTAGAAATATCCCCATTTTACCAAGGAGGAAACTGAGGCCAGAGAGGGTATGTGATTGCCCACACTTCATCCCTGCTACAACCTCGAAGTCCTGGGAAACCAGTCACACGTGCCTGCACTCACACCCTCGGTGAATTTTATTGTAAAGCACAGACTAGTAACAATTTGTTTTGTCTGATACTTGAGAGTCATTGTATGCAAATTACACCCATACATCAAATTACCTCATTGAATCCTTAAGACAACCCCACATGTAGTAGGAATTATTATCCGCATTTTGGCAGGTGAGGAAATAGAGGCTCAAGAAGGGTATCTTAGGGGCTGATGAACAGAGCCAGCGTTTAGAGGCAAGCCTCTGCTTCCTAATTTGACTGATTTCCTCCCTCTGCCAGCATTTCCCAAATCTCAGTCATCTGAGTTCAACCGTTGCGAAGTGTTTCACATCCACATACCACATTAACCATTATTTATTTGATGTTTCTCTTTAAATTGACTCATTTTTTACTTCAATAAATATATCTTGAAAGTGAACTTTATATCACTACTGTAAAAAAGAAAACTGGAATTGCTTGCCGTAAGCAAATGGTAACTGGGAAAATAAATACAGTAAAAGCAACACAATCACACCATACTCTAGCTGCTGCCTGTTCTAAGCCGAAGGCCAGCTGCCTGCTCTTTGTAAAAAGGATATAACCAAAATGTTAGAAAGATTAGTTAAGATACTCTGGCACCAAAGAAGATGCTTGCTTTGGCTTAATCAGGAGAACCAGAAAGGGGAAAACCTTCTCACTAATGCTTCTCTCTAATATTGCAGCTGTGTGTCACATCAAGTTATCTCACCCCACACTTTGGGAAAAGTGGCTCCAGGCACCCTTGGAGAGGGAAGGATCTGGGAGATGGAGTAAGTAGGTGATGAATACTCTGAAGGGGAAGAAGCAGCAACCTGCAGCCCTGGGAACTACGAGTTTGTCAAAAACAAGGCATCTGGGGAGTTGATCAGGGATGGGGAGAAAGGTCCCAGGGGCTTAACTAGCTCTGGAGACCCAGTACAGAGCCTTCTGCAAAGGCAAGAGAGCAGGAGGAGGAAAGCAGGTACCTGACGCCTGGAAGGACCCCTGCACCTCTAGGTCTGCTCCCTGCAAGGTTTTGGTGCATGGGCCGTCAGAGTGCCTTTGCTTGAAGACTGATCAGCTGGACCCAGCTGGCTGACATCAAATGAATATTCATATCAACACTCATGGTTCACAGCCAGGACCCTGGGCAATCCTGGTCATCCAAACCCCTGTGAAGAGTATTCACATTCACTAGGCTCCCACTGTGTGTGCCAAGCAATGTGCCAGGAACTTCTCTTATTTTGTCTCATTAATCCTAAAATTCGAGGTAGGTACTATTGTTAACCCATTGGATAGATGTTGAAACTTGCAAAGAGAAAGCAAAGCAGGTACTCCAACCTAATTCCAAAGCTTACGCAATAGCCACTCACTAATCATCTCTGGTCACACTTCTCAAATCTCTTGCTCCATCGCTGAGTTCCCAACCTCCTTCCCCCAACAATGCAGCTCCCTTTCCCAGCCCACTCATTTCTGGACCAGCAGCGTCCTACGGCCAATCTCAAGACCAGAACCTTGGGGTTTCTCTTTTATACTTCTCTATTCTGCGGCCCCGAGAGCTGATCTTTTGCCAAGTTCTTCTCTACCTTTTGAGAGGGCGTAACATTCAAGCAAGCAAACTCTGCAGCTACACTGCCCAGATTTGAATCCCAACTCTGCATTTATCAGCCATGAGAACTTTCACAAGATAATCTCCCTGTGCCTCAACTTCCCCAGCTGTAAAATGGACACAAAAATAGTCCTCACTCCATAGGTTTGTGGTGAGGATTCAATGAGCTTATTTTCATAAAGCATTTGGAACTGTACTTGAAACACAATCATCACCATATAAATGTTAGCTATTATTATTTAATACTGTTCACAGATTTACGTTTTTCCTCCTGGGCCCTTTCCCCCTTGTTTTCCAGATTGTGTTGACACTCTTCTGCTCTAATCAAGCCAGTGTCCACACACTTATTCCCAGTTCTCTAGCTTTGTCAATGAGTATTATCCCTGCCTGCAACGTTTTCCCTTGTCCTCTCCAAATTCTGCCCATTCTTCAAGGCCAAGATTAAGCCTCATCCCTTCCATGAAGTCTGTAGTGATTTCTCGGGCCACATAATCTCTCACTTCGTGGCATTCATTCATTCACTCACTCACTCACTCATTCATTCATTCATCTAGCACTTATTACTGAGTACCTACTATGTGTCAGAAACAACCATAATCCCCACAGATATGACCACTGCCCTCATGGAACTCCCAGTCCAGTACTAAACAAGTACTAAAGTCCTAAACAAGTAAACACACAAATCATCATCATTTACAGTTGCAATCTGTGTCATAAAGGGAAGGTAGAGAGTAAAAAGTACACAGGCATGTAAACAGAGGGCTCTAATTTTGATGGAGAGTCAAGGAACAGGAGTTGGCATTTACAGTTATACCTAAAGGTAGAGCTAACATTATCCAAATAAAAGAG